AACTGCTGTCTTGAGGTCTCTCCACAGGTGCTCAATGGGGTTTAGATCTGGACTCATTGCTGGCCAGTCCTGTACTCTCCAGCACTCTGTCTGAAACCATTTCTGGGTGCTTTTTGACATGTGCTTTTGGGTCATTGTCCTGCATTAAGACCCATGACCTCTTACGGAGACCCAGCTTTCTGACACTGGACTCTACATTGCACCCCAAAATTATTTGGTAGTCTTCAGATTTCATAATGCCATGTACACACTCAAGACATCCAGTACCTGATGCAGCAAAGCAACCCCAACACATCAATAACCTCCACCATGTTTGACTGTAGGGGCTGATTTTTTTTCTTTAACCCTTTCGCTGCCAAGGACGTACGGCATACGGACCTACAAAAGTGCTTCCAGCTGGCCAGCTCAGTATGCCGTACGGACCTGGCATTTACAGTTCTACTATAAGCTGATGGTAGCTTATAGTAGAACTGTTCAGCAGACTGTCCCCTTTAAATGAATAGCTGTCATCAGCGATGCAACGCAGCAGTTGAACATCAAATCAATAGAAAAAAATTGCAGAAAATTCAAAAATGGCTTGGCCAGCTGATTTGAAAAATGTTCCGGAGGGCTTGGCAGCGAAAGGGTTAAAGGCCTAATTTCTTTTTCTGAAAACAGTGGAATGATGGGCTTTACCAAATAGCTGTAATTTTGTTTTGTCAAAGAGCTGTTAATTTTGTGTCATACCAATATAAACAAAATAAATAAACATGAGAATGCCTAAATATTTGTAATTGCAACAATTTTCAGTGCTAAGTGGTGCATTATCTGACAAAAATGCAGGAGTGCCAATATTTTTGGCCATGACTGTAAGTGAACTGAGTCACCCACTGGCTTATTTTATAATTTGAGACTCCAGTGGTCTCCTCACCATAGTTCCTGAATCTTCGTCTGCCTACCTCGGTGTATCACCAAGGTAGGCAGACGCTAAGGCATTTGACACGGTAACACATACTTGTTTACTACAGAAGCTGAGGTCTATGGGCATAGATGAAATGGTGTGTACATGGATAGAAAACTGGCTACAGGAACGGGTACAAAGAGTATCGATAAATGGCACCTTCTCGGATTGGGCTAGGGTCATGAGCGGCGTGCCGCAGGGATCTGTACTGGGCCCCATGCTATTTAACCTTTTCATTAACGATATTGGGGAGGGGGTAAACAGCCATGTTTCAGTGTTTGCTGATGATACAAAAATCGGGAGGGTAATAGAAACTGAATCAGACGCTATAACATTACAGGGGGATCTAGAAAAAATAGGGGAGTGGGCAACTACATGGCAGATGAGGTTTGATGTAGATAAATGTAAAGTAATGCACTTTGGGGTTAAAAATAATAAAGCGAATTACACACTAATGGGAGCTCCGCTATGGGAGCCCGAAAGGGAAACAGATTTTGGGGTCATTGTAGACCACAGACTGAATAATAGCTCGCAGTGTCAGGCTGCGGTAAGCAAAGTAAGTAGGGTCCTGTCCTGTATTAAGAGGGGAATGTTCAGCAGGGACAAGTCTATAATTCTGCCACTTTATAGATCGCTGGTTCGGCCTCATCTGGAGTATGCGGTCCAGTTTTGGTCGCCAGTGAACAAAAAGGACGCCCTTGAACTGGAAAGAGTCAAGAGGAGGGCGACCAAACTCGTAAAGGTATAGAGGACCTGAGCTATGATGACAGGCTACTGAATTTAAATATGTTCTCATTGGAAGTAAGGAGATTAAGGGGGACATGATTTTCATGTACAAAATGTTTACCAGGGATAGTAACATTAGCAGTAAACTCTTTACAATTAACTCCATGACAAGGACGAGAGGCCACCACCTAAAATTGGTGGAGAAAAAAATTCAGCACAAGGTGCGAAGGGGGTTCTTCTCAGTTAGATCAGTCAGAGTCTGGAACTTGCTGCCACATGCTTTGATTTCGGCTGAGAGTGTGGAATCATTCAAGAGGCGATTGGGCGATTTCCTCAGAGACCGTAATATGCAGGGGTGCAAGTACTCCTAAGAATGAGAACACACCAATACCTATACATACTACACATCAGTAGGACCATACACACAGTGGGGTCACAAGGGGGGTGCGGCCCGCACCCGGGTGACACCATTGGAGGGGTGAGTCATTTTGGTGTCATCCCCCTCTGAAAAGTCGGGCGCTCGGTCATGGACCAAACGCCCGACAGTATCAGGAGAGAGGAGGGGACCCGGCGGCATACCTTATCCCACCGGGTGACTGTCCCCTCCATCACAAAAATGGCCGCCGGCAGATACCAGAATACTGCCGCGCATGCATGATGACGTCATCGCACACGCGCGTGGTGACGTCACGCGCAGTGAAGTCTCGGTGGGGTGACACTCGGTTACCGCTCCGGGTGTCACCCAGCCTCGGGACGCCCCTGCATACACATACACACACACACAATGGGTTGAACTTGATGGACATGTGTCTTTATTCAACCTCAAATACTATGTAACTTCATCTGCTTGCATTGTACAGAATAGTCAAAATATGATAATTGGACTGTCATGTAACTGCTGGCAGGTATGCAGCACTTCTGATTTTAAATACAGGGATCTCACTATCAGTGACCCTGGTAGATGATTGATATCTGGCCCCTACTTTAAAGAAACACTGTCATCTTGCCTATTCAAGACAAAGTTAGTTCCAGCTCTCTGATCACTTTATACTCACTTTTGCAGTGCTCCACTACTGCTACTTTGCCCACAACAAATTCCTGGTACTTCTGCATATGGGGGCGCATGTGACCTCCTTCCATGATGCAGTGCTCAGGCCTAGTGGGCAATTGCTAAGACTGAGCTCTGTCACATGACAGACAGGGTGTTATTCTCCCTCTGTGCTCCAGCGCCGGGTAATATGGTGGTGGCATGAACAGGTAAAGAAACAGTGGGGGAGCACTGATGAGGTGAGTAGAGCATAGTCAGGGTTCAGGTTTACAAGGACATTGTCACTTTGCCCTTAATGGGCAAGCTGACAGTGTGTCTTTGAAATTAAATAGTTTTTATGCAGAGTGACTCTTTTGCCAGTTTTTTTTTTTTTTTTATTACTATCAAGGCAAAGCTCTTTTACTTTTCTTGGATCAATAAAAATAAATATTCTATAGGCAGTCTATAGTCACTTATACTCCAGTATTGCAAGCTTTTTTCCCCCTAAGGTCTTGTGTACAAAGGTACCCAAAGGGAATGTTCAGTGTACTTTTTTGCTGTGCTTCAAGTTTTCTTGATTCTCATTTTCAGCATATCTACTGCAGGACAAGTAAAGGCTATACTAAGGTTTTATCTTTTGGTGCTTGTAGATAGATATGAAGAGTGTCATTAAGTAATACTTATAATTTATAAGTGTCACATAACTTTAAAAAAAGACCTTTACTAAGCAAAATTGGAATGACAACTGTGCATATAACATAAGCAAATGCAACTTGCTATTTATGGCACCCTGTGTCCCTAACAGATTTGCACTTGTCATAGAATGAGTACTATTCTTAACATGCCATGAATATCTGGTGGTGGGTATAGACACAGCACTTGCCACTGACTCCAGGTTATCATTACTATTACCATATTGTTACCATTTTACTGGATGGCTGGAGTACATTGAAATACAGCTCACCCATAGACATAATGGGGGCCACTGTGTGCACCAAGAAGAGGTGCCTGCGGGGACTGAAAAGGCTATTTGACTCTGGGAAGGGCTGTGCCACACAGTGAAGCTCAAGATGAAGGTTGGAAGGTAAGTATGTAAAATAAACTTTAAAAAAAACTTGTAAAATTTAAAAGTGAACTTGTCCTTTGTTGCAGGGTAGGCGGGGGAGCCAGTATGAATAATATATGTTGGGCTGGTGGCCTTGAGTGGAGGTACTCCCCTCCCAGGCCTTAATCATTGCAGGACCACTGTGACAGTTACTTCGTGTTATACATCTTCCATTCCAAAGCATCATATATATTATTTTTTTAGATCTTATATGATCAAATGCAGAGAGCTGCTCAACTTATGCAAGGTGTTGTGTTCATTTTCAAAAGGAAACTAAATGATTACTTGTGATGATAACATGGTATTTTATTTAGGTGAGCCCATATAGTTTTCATAAAGCAGCCATTATCCTGTTCACCTTATTAAGTAGTTCATAGTTTACCATCTCTTTTTTTTTTAAGTTAATATTGTATATGTAAAAAGGTGTGTTAAAATATACCACGTTCTTCAAGACAACACTCGTGTTTCACCATGGCTACCAATCACTACCACACACTTTGTGTGGTACACTTCCTTTAGCCCACAAGAAACTGCTTCTAACATGAAAGATCAAGGTTGTTGTTTTTGTCTCCCAGGTCAAATGTTCTCAGGCCTCTACTCGGGTCTGGTTCCAACAACAAATTTAGTCTGGACAGGTCAGCTAATGTGCATTTTAGCACCCTTTCCAGGTTCGGAATCTGAAACAAAATCAGAAGTAGATTGTATGTGTTTAGGAATCTAAACACATCTTCCTATAGAGACTAAAATTAGGGTTTCTTTAGTCCAGAGTTGTTGTTTAACATAGTTTTGCATTTAGAAAAAAAGCTACAATTTATTTTGTGAAAAAAAAATCTGGTTTTACAGTGTTAAAATGCCTGAAATGCAGGGATTTCAGTATTTGCTCTTGTCCTTCTTGGTATGTCATAACTGAGCCTGGCTGATCTAGAAAAACAAAAAACATTGTTAAAGCTGATATAAAAGGTCCCTGTGTTTTGTTCTGTGTGCTGTGTAAGAATGATATAAATTAAGATGGCATAGACACAACATTTTCCTGGGTGTCAGGTACTGGGACACAAATCGAATGATGTCATAGTCAAAGGAAGTTGATAACAATGTAACCTTTTTTTTTCTTTTTTTTTTTTTTAACGGCTTCAGCACCTCTTTGTTTTATCTTGCTTTTGTAAGTGCAGTAGATTTCTTTATCTGTTTGTTTTTATTTGCAGTTGACTGCCTGCATCCATGGATCATCTTCAATGTTGTTCCCTATGTACTGGCAACATGTTTACATCCCAGTTCTTCCTCCTCATCTGCTGGACTATTGCTGGTAGGTCTGATGATTGCCTCACCCAATGTAATTTACTCTATGTACAGAGTGCCGTTGAGGTAGATTGCTGTGTTTAAATGTATGTCTAGGCAAAAGCAAAAACACATTCAGTACATTTCTGTAATACATGCACATTTCCCCATGTTTTATCCCTTTTAAATTGAAGCAAGTACAGAGAAATGCCTCTTCATATGCCACAAAACCAGGAAAGCTTGATACATCCTGTTTGAACTGATTACACAGTGCCTCTGCCACGTGGAAATCCAAAGCAGAGTTGTCAGCCCTGCCTGAATCTCCCTTCTGCACTACAGAATAGTTAGCACACAAAAACATAATTAACCACCTCAGGACTGTCGTACATGTATGAACATTCCATTCCTGAAGTGGTTATACCAAGATCATTTTACAGTTGGCGATGGCTGTCACATACAAGGGTTTGTGTGGCTATAGAGGAGCCTGATCGCTTGTATGCACCTGGGGAGTGTGTGGCCACCCCACTGCAGCTGCCAGCTTTATTTGTTCCGTTGTTCTCTGTGCGGGCCCTGGAGCAGCATGGCAGGTCTCTGCGCCTGGATCGGAGGGAGATCAGGACACACCCCGATCAATTAAACCGAAAGTGATGTGCATTGCTTCACTTCCGGTTTCAGCTCATAAAAAAAAAAGTCCCCACATACACATGCACATACAAACGCAAAGCAGCTTCGTGTGTATCTAAGTGTGAAAGCGACAATTGCACCACTCATGTTACCTATCAATGCAAATGTTGAAGTGAGAGCAATAATTCTAGGGTCATCACTCCACTGTTACCTCTAAATTAATGAGCAGCAAAGCTTTTAAAGCATTGCCAATGGGCATTTTTGGGTAATGTAGTTTATTGCCATTTTACGTGTGCACACAGTTTTAAGGCTTGACATGTTTGATATCTACCCAACACAACCCCATCTTTTATATTTTAGCAAATGATTGGGTAATATATACTGTTTCTGTGCACACAAATACATTTTTGTGTGTTTTATCCTAAAAATATTGGTTTGATGAATGCAAATATCATGCAACTAGCAATTTTGTTTTTATTTATGTAGCATAGGGCCTCTCCTTTAAAAAAATATATATATATATATGTATATATACATGTGTTTTTTTAGCGGTTTTCTAGCCAAAAACTCAGATTGTATCATGCGTCTCCAGAAATTAAGAAATACTCCAGGCAGTAAGTGGTTAGATTGTTTCTACATTTAGGTCCCAAGTAAAGGTTTTTGTTGCATATATTTGCAAAAACAAGCCTCGCTCTAACATAACTTATACCACCTTAAGACCATGTGATATTTTAAAGGGACATTTAAAAAAGAAATATACATATAGTGTGTGTGTGTGTGCGTGCGTGTATTACCCAGCATATGTTCCATTCCATCAATGTTTGGCATACACATATTACACAGTCTACTAAGTGCACAACAGAAATCTTAACCAGTACAGGACCCGAGAGTCGCCATGATTAAAAAACAAACTCATGTTGCATTAGTGGATGTGCCTTCCCTTATTTTGCATTTATGTACTGTATATACATTCCACATTGTAGAGTGTATACTCCAATGCAGTTCCAACAAGAATTCAATGCAACTTTATCTTGTTAAACACTCAATTCCAGTAAGAATGATTATACAATAAAGAATCAGGTTAGAAAATTCACTAGAGGTTCTCTTTAAAGTTCTCCCATGAAATGGACATCAGGCTCACATTCTGAAGATGCTTTTTATTGACTAACGGCACTTGCATTTATGTGGTTTTCTTATGATTTGTAGTTCACAAACACGATTATATGGTTTTTTGATTCACCTACTAGCGCTGTTAATTTGGTTTAAACATCCTCAGACCCAGCGGTCTTTAATACAGCAGCTTGTATTTTACATCACAATATTTATTTATTTATATTGATGTGTTGACGCGATACACAGAAAATTCATCACTTTGACTTTGCAGTATTTAATATAAGTAATGTGTTAAGGAAACACTATTTTGGTTTAAATCACTGCCACCTGTGTGATATACAGCTAATTGAACTCCTAGCGCTGCTTATCTTGTTATATCATTCTGAAGATGCTGCAATGGGGCAAAAGTGCTGCCACTCCAACATGGGGTGTTCATCTTCAGAATTCTGGCTCATAGTCCTACTGTTGACCCAGAGGTGCCTGGGTAATTTAAAAGGTCCTTTAAGAATAAACAGATTTGATTTGTTTTTTTTGGGGGGTTTTTCTGGACATCACATAACATCAAAATCTTAGCTGGAATAATCTCTCTTTTTTTGTGTAATGCTCTGTAGACATGTGAAGACAGAAATGATCTTTTGTCTTATGTTATAAACAATCAGATTGCTTATGCCTGTTAGTTTTCTTTTTAAATATAGACAAATAAGTGTTTGTGGGCTTGTTTTGGTGTATAAAATACCCTCCTAGCGGATGTATGTGGTAAAAGTCTGTATGCGCTGACTAAGCATAGCAAAATTGTGCAGTGATTGGAATGGAGATGCTTTTAATTGTGTGTGCTTTTAATAAGTCTAATTGCTGTAGCAAAGAATCAACACAACAGAAAAAAGACACGTAAGTCAAACATACGCTGCAGGATTCCTTGAGCCTGTAGATCCTTATCCTCCAGTGAGAGAGTCCGCACTGCGCTCAGTCCTATGTGAGCTCATGCCTCATCACATTTTATAATTAAGTTACTAAGGAAGCTGCTCTGTGGGAGACATGGAAAACAGTAGATGGTTCTCCCACTGCTCTGTTTGTGCTTTTAACTTTTACACTAATGATGCTGCATGAGAAAAGTGTTTGCTGGAAATCTGGATGCTCTCCCCCCACCCCGTGTAATTTTTTTTTTTTTTATTAACTCCTTTGTGATTTTTGCTTTCTTCTGTTTTTCCCTATCAAAACAGAACATACGATTGGTATCAAATATTTTTCTGCAGCTATAGTTTGTGTTAACTATAACTATCTATGAAGATGCAGACAGCTCAGGAAGTACTTTTAAAATAATAATATACTGTATGTGTGTGTGTATAGATGTGTGTGTATGTGTGTGTGTGTGTATTTGAGAACGGTTCGGAGGTCTATATAGTTTTCAGTTACTTTGGTTGAATTGTTTGCTGCAAAGGGCTTTTACTTTGTGCCCTCTTGGCCAAAACTTTTTTTTACTTGTTTCTACTTACTTTAATATACCAGAAATAAGAAATGTGTTTTATGAAGGCAGTAGTTGCTTACTGGGAGTGCTATATGGTGATATTAAACTTTTCTATTATTGTTCCTTCTCTTGAACTAATGAACTAGCAGTTTGCTGTTCAATTAAAGTTCAATTAAAGGTGAATTAAAACCTGTATCATTAATTTAGACATAGTTCTATATGCATATATGCATATTTGGACATATGGAACTACTGTTAGGTCTTTGTCCTCAATTACATATGTGTATAATGATTCCCTCATCCTGAGTTGTCAAGGTTGCATGTATTAGCATGTGTGCTTATACCAATGGCACATTATACCTGTGCTAATTGACAACACAAACTTATACTGAACAATTTTCTTATGCTGTAAATTAAATCTGTATTTAAAATATATTTATAACTTATATTATGCCTCATGAAAGATGGTAGAACCAAAGTTTGTATGTCTGAATTGATATACGTACCGCCTCAATAATAGACATAGACAGTTTTGCTTTTATTAACACCTAGAAAAATATTTACATTGCAACTGTTTAACTGCCACAATACCTGTAATTGTTGGTGTTCCTGTCTGAGCCAGTCTTGTAATCTAGTCACCCCTGCCAGACATCATAGCCAAGTGCCTAACTTCCAATGCAACCACAGCATTGCCTGATCAAGAACACACCCCCCTCAAAACAAAACAAAAAAATGATACCATTGTACTCTAAATTATGTGTAACAATGTAGCTTGAAATGTGTTTTCTGAAATTTTCATAAAAATAATAATAATTAAAAAAACCTAGCCTCCTGATTGGAGAAAAAGTTGGGCCCTATTAGCCATTTTCCCTCCCCGGTGTCATGTGACTCATTAGTGTTACAAGGTCTCAGGTGTGAATGGGGAGTAGGTGTGTTAAGTTTTGTGTTATCGCTCTCACTCTCTCATACTGGTCACTGGAAGTTCAACATGGCACCTCATGGCAAAGAACTCTGAGGTTCTGAAAAAAAGAATTGTTGCTCTACATAAAGATGGCATAGGTTGTAAGAAGATTGCCAAGACCCTGAAACTGAGCTGCAGCACGGTGGCCAAGACCATACAGCAGTTTCACAGGACAGGTTCCACTCAGAACAGGCCTCTCCATGGTCGACCAAAGAAGTTGAGTGCTCAGCGTCATATCCAGAGGTTGTCTTTGGGAAATAGATGTATGAGTGCTGCCAGCATTGCGGCAGAGGTTGAAGGGGTGGGGGGTCAGCCTGTCAGTGCTCAGACCATACGCCGCACACTGCATCAAATTGGTCTGCATGGCTGTTGTCCCAGAAGGAAGCCTCTTCTAAAGATGATGCACAAGAAAGGCCACAAACAGTTTGTTGCAGACAAGCAGACTAAGGACATGGATTACTGGAACCATGTCCTGGGGTCTGATGAGACCAAGATAAACTTATTTGGTTCAGATGGTGTCAAGTGTGTGTGGCTGCAACCAGATGAAGAGTACCAAGAGAAGTGTGTCTTTCCTACAGTCAAGCATGGTGGTGGGAGTGTCATGGTCTGGGGCTCCATGGGTGCTGCCGCCACTGGGGAGCTACAGTTCATTGAGGGAACCATGAATGCCAACATGTACTGTGACATACTAAAACAGAGCATGATCCCCTCCCTTCGGAGACTGGGCCGTAGGGCAGTATTCCAACATGATAACGACCCCAAACACACCTCCAAGACGACCACTGCCTTGCTAAAGAAGCTGAGGGTAAAGGTGATGGACTGGCCAAGCATGTCTCCAGACCTAAACTCTATTGAGCATCTGTGG